TCCATCACCGCCGTCTGCTGCGTGTGTTGACAGGGTCGTAGCGCCAACCTGCGGTATTGCATTTTCCCGAGGCTGTTCAGTCGAAGGCTCCTGAAGTCCGCCTTCCACCGTACCGTCTGGCCGCCTCGCAGCAGGAGGGAGGCCCTCACTCCTCGTCCTGCCGCCTGCTGAACTGCCCTCTGGCGAAGTTGACACAAAAGATGGCGCTGTTTCTGCAGTTGGTGGCTGCGGCAGTGAGTGTCCCCCTCGAAAGGGAAACCCAAGCGTGCCTTCAGTCCGACTACCACTTCATCACCCCTGTATATATCTGAGTTTGGTAACGTACACTGGCTTGGCTCATCATTAGAGCCATCGGCACCAGTGGGGATGTCAGTTTCGCCTCTTGACAGCCTGTGCAGTGAACTGTTTACATTCGTCAAACACTCCACGGAACGCGATGTACCAAAAGACGTCGATCCGATGTGGTGCACTGCTTCAAGAGCGTGTCATTGTACAGCAATATGGCCCAGATGCAGATGCGCTCACCGATTTCGTCCTTGGCACTTGTTGAGACAGAGCCTCCCGTTGCACCAGAACAGCTTATCCATTCAATAGTTCTCGATCCAGAGAAGTACCACTGCGTCGGTTTGACAGTCGTTGGGCAAGTCACTTGCAGCTGCACACCTGCCGATACCTTCACTTTGGACGCCTCCTCCCCGCACACAGACGAGAAGCAGCCGCATAGCAGCGCAAAAACCGCCAGGGCGCACACCGCACGGCACTGCACCGTCGCCATCGCCATCCGTCGTAGTATTAGTGATAGTCGAAGCAGTAGAGTAGCTGGAAGCAGTGATCTGCGAGGCGACGGGGAAGAGAAGCAAAAAAACAAGCAACGAAAATAAGTGGAAGTAGCAAAGAGTGCAGCGAAGAAAGTGAGAGCGGAAAAAAGGAACAAAAAGACGTCAGCCCACCAACGTTTACACGCATGGAAGATCCCGCACCCACACAAAAAAAGTCACTCAACGCCACCAGCCACACATAACGGAGCATCGACACCGCACCGCACCGCACCGTCACATCGTGCGGGGGACACGACGCCACTCAAAGCAACACTCCCACACAAAGCGCCCTGCACTCGCAAGGAAAGGGGGTGAGTCACAGCGCACCTCATCCCCTCTGTCTCTCCTTTCTCTTCATCGCCACGGAAGACAGCAGCACAGGCGTCGCTGCCAGCACCGACTACGAAAGCATCCTCCACGTGCACCGCAATGTGTGTGCGTATATATATATATTGTATTGTATAGTGTGTGCGTGCCTGCAGTACAAAAATAAAGAGAAGGAAGAAGAGCAAAGCTTGTGACAACACACATACACACACACACAGACAGAATAGATGCAGTACGAAAAGGCGGAAAAAAGAGATGACTAAACCTCAAAATGGCACCGCAGCCTAAGCAGTGGCAACACACAAATAATATGAATTAACAAAAAAAAATACCGTTGTGGAAGGCCCCTGCACAATCTTTCAAACAAAAAAAAAGTTTTCATGTTTTGGCTGCATATAAAAATAATAAATGATATATTCGTTTTAACCACTGAAGCCCCCGGTGTCCACACACCGTTTAACCTCCACAGGGAGCCGCAGTGCGTTGCTGTGGCTTCCATTCCTTCCTTCCCTCTTTCCTTCTCCCATC